TGAGAAAAGGAAACCCTCCTACACTGTTGGTGGGAATGTAAGTTGGTACAGCCACTATGGAAAACAATAGGGAGGTTCCTCAGAAGACTAAAAATAGAATTATCATATGATCTAGCGATTCTACTCCTGGGCATATACCCAGACAAAACTAGTTCAAAAAGATACATGCACCCCTGTGTTCATAGCAGCACTGTTCACAATAGCAAGACATGGAAACAACAGATGAATGGGTAAAAAAGATATGGTACATATATACAATGGAATACTACTCAGCCATAAAAAGGAATGAAATAATGCCATTTGCAGCAACACGGATGCAACTAGAGATTATTGAACTAAGTGAAGTAAGTCAGAAAGAGACAAATACCATATGATATCACTTATATGTGGAATCTAAAATACGACACAAATGAACCTTTCTATGAAACAGAATCATGGACATAGAGAACAGACTTGTGGTTACCAAGGGAGAGGGGGTTGGGGGAGGGGTGGAGTGGGAGGTTGGGATTAGCAGATGTAAGCTTTTATATATAGAATGGGTAAACAATAGGTCCTACTGTACGACACAGAACTATATTCAATACTCTGTGATAAACCATAATGGAAAAGAATATTTAAAAAAGGGCATGTATGTATGTATAACTGAATCACTTTGATGTACAGCAGAAATTAACACAACATTGTTAATTAAACAACTATACTTCAATAAAAAAAGCCAGACGTAAACTGACATTTCATTTATATAAAAAAGGTCAAAAATAGGCAAAACTAATCTTTGGAGATAGAAGGCAGGATAGCGTTTACCTTGGTAAGGGCCGATTGGGAGGACATGAAGACTTGAGAGGTCCTGATAAATTTTTTTTTTTAAATCTTAGTAGTTAGGTGGATATATATTGCTTTGTGAAAACTCTGAATTGTACATTTATGATTTGTGTACTTCTTGATATGAATGTTATACTTCAATAATAAGTTTTCATTCATTTATTTTTGGCTGCATTGGGTCTTCGTTGCTGCACGCAAGCTTTCTCTTGTGGCGAGCCGGTGCTACTCTGTTGCTGTGCGTGGACTTTTCATTGCGGTGGCTTCTCTTGTTGCAGAGCACGGTCTCCAGGCGCGGGCTTCAGTAGTTGTGGCTCATGAGCTCTAGAGCGCAGGCTCAGTAGTTGTGGTGCACGGGCTTAGTTGCTCTGTGGCATGTGGGATCTTCCCGGACCGGGGCCTGAACCCGTGTGCCCTGCATTGACAGGCGGATTCTTACCACTGCACCACCAGGGAAGTCCAATACTAAGTTTTCTTAAAGGTAGGAGGAGGAGATGAGTACGGTACATTTAAAAGTTCTTGAATCCTTTTCATCCTTCTCTTATGAAAAGGACAATGATGCCTGAACGCAAAACTTTCTTTACCTTGCACTTACATGTGGGATATGTTTGGCATGTCAGAATTATATTATTCTGGTTTTCCTTGGTTTACTGGAGGAGTTGTCACCCAGATCTTTCTGTTTCAGTTATTCGTTATGCAACATTTGATACATCAAAAAATATATTGCAGTTTTTAGGAATTATTTTGTAGAAACAAGCACTTGGTAACAAGATCTGAACTCCTTTGTTATAGAATTTTTGAACTGGAATTGGCTAGTGTTTGTGTAAATTCAGATGGCTACCTCAGTAATACACACACACACACACACACACACATACCCTCTTTCATATTAGGAATGGGATCTTCTTTAGTCAAGGTGTACAGATCAGAATTGGAGACAATTTAAAATCAGGTCTATGACTCCATGATCTTCATTCTTTCTTTGGTATTGTGCTCCTCTATATCTTCAAAATTTCTGTCACAAATCCTTTTTGGAACAAAGAATGGCATAAATAGTCATTTAAACTTTATGAGGTACAGATTTTCCAACAGGTTCAGAATTATGAGATTGCAGTAAGCAGAAAAGCAAGATTTTTTTCTTCCTTTAGTTTCCCTATTTTTACCCTATCCTGTCCTTTATATTTTTCTTATTCCTAGGTACCAATATGAAAAGTATACGTAGGACTTGACAGTTATGAAGGTTATAGAAGCTGCTAGTTTAGAAAACAATGCAGACAAATTATTCACATAAAGGGAAATAAAGTCAGCAAACAATATGAAAAATCTTTGATGTGAAAAATTCATATTCGAGCCACACTAGTATACCATTTTACAACCATTAAAGTAGAAAAGCTTCAAAAGGATAGCAGCACTTAGTTTTGATAATCTAAAATGGTCTGGTGGTCTTACCTACCCTTTTTTTGAGGAGGAGAGAAAAGTATGCCAACGTATGAAGTCTGTCATTTGACCTAGTAATTTTACTCTTTGAAGTTTTTTTTCAGAAGTAGTAGTTCAGAAAAACAAAACACATACGCACACAGATATTTCTTCCTTGTTATCTAGTTCTCAAAAAGTTAGTTATGATGCAAATGTCCGGTGGGGAATAATCTACTAGATAGTGCAACAGCTGCAAGGTATACCTGCTGTGTATCCATTTATATTATCAGTAAGATGTATAATCACAGAGAAATATTTGCTATTTAGATTACAAAATAGTGGGTACACTGATTGAAATTACATTTTAAAGATGTTATGTAAAAACTAACCACAGATATGTAGAGTTCTATTTCTATGGTTGAGGAATTACTGGTATTTTTATTTTTAATATCTTTAATTTTTTGCAGCTTATCATCTGTTAGAAAAAACTGTAATGACCAGTTTTTGATGCGTTAAGCATTTTGCCATTAATGGGTTTCCTTTGCTTATTTTGGTACATTCATTACTTCTCAAAGACGTAGTGTAAAAGTAGATGAAAATCAGTGTTTTGACCAGCTCATCCATCAGGCGATTGTATTCTCAGCATGCCTGGCACATATTGCTCGTGACTGAATGATTTACATATGTTAAAAGTCATTTGCCATCACTTATCAATTTATACGCATTAGGGATTTCTTTGTTTTAAATTTTTCTTCTGTGAGTATAGCTATATTTTTCATCAAGTCATATAATGGATGTGGGCTTTGTAAAATGTCTCATCCCTTCTTATTCTGAGCAAGAGAACCTGGAATGTCTTCTGACCCTTTTAACCCAAGGGCAGACATGGAATGTATCTATACTTGAATTCATAAAACTTGGCACTTAGTGCAGTATGCAATAAATATTTGTTAAATGAGTCAGAAGGTTAAGATTTGAATCCTGTGTCATTTAAATAGTGGTGTGTGATTTTGGACAATTCTCCTGGGTTATCTTTTTGAGCCTCAATATTCTCAGCTGTAAAATGGGAAAAATAATTTCTAATACTGAGTATTGTTATGAAGATTAAATCAGTTGAGTGTTTTTATTAACTGTGGCCATGTAACAAGTTACCCCAAAACTTAGTGGCCGAAAGCAGCAAACATTTATTTTCTCAGTTTCTGTGGGCCAGGATGGAGCAGCTTAGCTAGGTGGTTCTGGCCTGTGTCTCTCATGAGGCTGCAGTCATCTCAGGGCTCATCTGGGGTTGGATCCGCTTCCAAGCTCACTCACGAGGCTGTTGGCAAGCCTCAGTTCTTTGCCATGTGGGCTTCTCCACAGGGCTGCCTCACAACAGGGCCGCTGGATTCCCTCAGAGAGAGCGTCCAAGATGGAAGTTTTTAACTTAGTATCAGAAGTGACATCTCATCACTTCTGCTGGATTCTGTTAGGAGCAAGCCAGCCCACACTTAAGGTGAGGGAATTACACAGAGGCCAGAAGTCAGGGATTGTTGAGGGCTGTCTTAGAGGCTGCCTGTCATAATAAGGGTATTTTGCCAAGCAAATAATTGTACCCCCCCATTCCAAGATTATTCTGTAATAGAATAATATCTTGTAACAACCTAATAACTGTTTGGGTGAACAGGATATGGAATCTTAATACATGTGAAATTGAATATAAGAGGATGACCAGAAATTAAAATTTCCTCATTTTCAAATGTACAATTTTTTTTCACTTTTAATATGGTTTAATGAAAAGAATTGAGGTTGTTACTGTGAGAATTTGTATATTTTATTGTTATAAACTGAAGACATCAATGTATGTTTCGGATATTCAGCTACATACTTTAATGTGAGATTTTGGGTAATTTGTTGTGAATTGTAAGTGGTAGCACATGTGGTATGGTGACTGAAGAATTTGCACAGTTCAGAATTATCTTGTCCTTTGAAACCAGTTTAGTTTACTTGGCATAAGAGGCTCTCTTTCACTGTTAATGTAGCTCTTGAGTTGCATCAGGTTAGACATAGCTTAGCTTTGAATTCTGTTCCAGAGCAATTTGTTGTATGCCTGTAGTGTACTAGGTGCTAGAGTAAAGGAAAAGTAGAGTGCCTCCACACTCTGGTTTTGAGCTTACAGTCTGTTTTGGAATAAAAGAGAGGTTGAAGTTTACAGATATCCTATTTGGACAGAATCACCAGTAGAAGTTGATTAAATAAATTAAATTGATTTAGTAAATCATGTAGTTAAAAATATTGTATGACTTAAAAACGGAAAAAAAGAAGTATATGCTGGTAAGGAAGGACTGCCAAGTGAAAACAGCGAGGGTACAAAACAACATATGTAACAGCCTGAGGGTAGTGTTATGTGAGTGTGAATGAGAGATCTGTATATATATGCATAAGTATAACCATGGTCAGTGTTTGGAAGGCTTTATAAGAAACTGTTGATGGTGGTTACTTCTGGGGAACAAGACTCTGGGGGGCTCTTGTGTAGCGGGAAGGTTGATTCAGTTTTCATTGCATGGCCTTTTATAAAATGCGCATATTATTTTGTTTAAAAAAATAATTTCCCAGTCTTAGAACATTCAGCTTTGAGAAATGTGTCTAATAATATACACATATATCCACAGTTATTTATACTGCCTGAACGTTGAAATGGACACCTTTGCAGAAAAGCTTGATTTGAGCAATCAAGTCTGTTCAAAATCCTTGCTGGCTGAGAGGCTTATGTTGACTCATTTTCTTTACAGGGAGACCAAATTTTGAGGAAGGTGGCCCAACATCAGTGGGAAGAAAGCATGAATTTATACGATCAGAAAGTGAAAATTGGCGTATTTTTAGAGAGGAACAGAATGGAGAAGATGAAGATGGAGGTTGGCGACTAGCTGGATCAAGGAGGGATGGAGAGAGGTGGCGACCTCACAGTCCTGGTAAGAATTCTGCTGAGTAAAAGCACACAGGGGCCGAAATAGTGAGGATTTGGTGGGAATTGTTAGGGATAAAGTGGAAAACATAAACCAGCAAAGAAAAACAAGAGGGGTCATGTTTATGTTGTCACACTCAGTCTTGCTCCCACAAAAATTTTTAACATAAAATATTCCCCACAGCTATTTAGTTGATTAAAGTCACTTTTATTTTTCTGGGGCAGTGTGGTTTAATGGGAAGCACCTGCCCTTAACTGCAAAAACGAGAGAGGGTTTCATTCAGTTTTCCTAAATTTTTGAATCTTTTTTCAGCATGCGTTTTTCTTAGGTGATAATTATATGCTTACTTAGGAATATGGGCTCCCCCTGAAGTGAGTTTTTTTCCTGTATAAGAGAGGATTTATTCTTTTTTCTCTTTTTGTCCTAAAAATGTGATTTCTGCTCATTTGAAGAATAAACTTTAAACCCAGGTCAAAAACATAATTACAAGTTTATTCTTTTGTCCCTCTAACTGTAGAAAAAGGAGAGAGAATAGTCGTGATTAGTGGTTTTATAAGTTCTTCTGTTTGACTCTTAAGAATGCTTCAAACTGTTCTTCCCCGACATTAGATATGTTGGTAATTGAAGACTCTGGTGCTTTGTGTCAAAGAACGTTCTCTACCCAAGTGTTGATTCTATGCCTCGTGATCATCTTGGGGTCATGCAGAACTGAAGCATACAAAGAGTGTGTACATGTCTTTTGAATTTCACATGCATAACATTGTTTTATCTATTGGCTATATGCCAAGGAAGCTTACTTTAATAGAGGAAGTTATAATAATAATGTAAACTGTTTTTATTTATTTTTAAAAATTAAGTTATTAACAAACCATTAGTCTCCGTCTGAGTTAACGTTATAACAGGCATTCAGGGTGCTTTATGGCGTTGTGGGTAGGTGGAAACTTAGTGAAGTTAATCTTTGGATAGAGTTGTAATGCTTTTACCCCAACTCCTCATTGGCTGCCTCTTGGGTGAGTTTTCTGTTGTTAGTGGGCATTGTTTGCATCACAGTTATTTAGGCAGTTCTCATCAGTCTGTGTCATGGGCAGCCATCTGTTATAGTTCTCTTCAAGGCATCATGGCATTTTGTGCTGAGCTTGCCTGTAAGCAGAAGGGTTTGTAGACTATGTTCCTAACAAGCATTCACTGAAAGAATGGACGGGATCTGGGCTGAGCAAGAAGAAAAATTCCAGCTGATCAAAAACAAACAAGGTGAATGTTTTGGAAGATGAACAGTGTTTCTGAACCCAAACGTCTGATGTTGATTCTGTTAAAGTGAGTTAAAAGTAAAACTTTAGTGTTATATTCTACCACTTACCCTCCTCACCCAAGAGCTTAGATTTTGGATATATATAGTACTTTTTTTTCCCCCATCTTTTCTAAATCTTTCTCTCCAGTATTTGACTTTTCATGTCAGTTTTGTCATCAACTCGACAATTTTCCAAAATTTTTATGCATATATTTTAAAAAGACAGTTTGGGGGACATAAAGATGCATGGGGGCTGAAAAAACACTGTAAATAGGCATTAAAAAAATACCATCTACTTTTTCAACCCAGCATATTAAAAATAAGTCTGATTATATCAGTTGTTATCAGTTACCCTTAACATTTTAGTTAATCCTTTATTAGGCTTTGATTAAAATTTTAAATATCATGATTTTTGACTTATGGAATAGTATCAAACTTTAGTTCTGATATAAGGTCTATAAAGCAGTGGTCTCAGTCTTAATAAGCTAGAGATGTGCCTTATCTGCTAAATTTAGTTTCGTGAATAAAATTTTATTAACTATTTAAGACAACAAAAATATTATGGTATATAGTTTTATTGAAGTATGGCTCACAGTTGGATATGTATGGAGTTGGGAGCATTAAGGACAGCTAAGCACCCACTCTGGGAGGTGAACTTAGGAAACTTAGTTAAGAGAGAAGAATGAGCCACATGCCTAGAAGGATAGATTTCTATCACAGTGCATACTTAGAAGTGAGAGTAGCAGACAGAGTACTCTGGAATTCAGCTTTTGACCATGAGCACTTCTTTGGGATAACGACTCTAGGTTAACATTTAGGCAGTCTGGGTATAAAATTCCTTCATTTTCATAGAAGATAGTAAATTGTGCTTTGTTGTTGTAAGTAAAGTGTGGGAAGTGGGAGAATAATGTTTTCTTACCTTTTTGTAAGTGGCTTATAAGATGCTACCTGTATTTGGTGTTTTAACATTTTGCCCTTCGGTTTTCAGTTTGAGTTTTAGATTGCTGGTTTTAGCAAATTGGGCCTCAGTAGTGTAGTAACATTTAACTGTGACCTCATTTCTTTTGCTGTCTCCCACAGAGAAAGCAAAGATATAGGTTAAAACATGTGTCTCCTCTTAAGACTCTCTTAGGCTCAGGTTTGTCAGATTTTAACAAGAACCACCCCCCCCCTTTTTTTTAGAGAGAGAGAATATACCTTAACTTGTAGCTTTTGGTCTTAGGCATTCGTTTTTTGTTGGAAAGTAGATGTGCTACATAATATGCAAGGGTGAATTTAGGAATGTCCCTGGGGGTATTAAATTAAAACTCCCTAGGGAGAGTTAAGAGATGAGAGAAAAGGAAAAGGAGAGTAAGCATGTTATTGTGGAAAAAGCAGTAGAGGATGCAGAATTGGATTCTAGTTCTACTTTTCATTATGCACGTTACTTCTGCTGTCAGAGGTTTTGCTTCTTAAACTATGAAACTAGGATAGTGGGCCAACTATGACATGGCAGTGCTATAATTCCATGACTTTTTTTGGGAATCAGAATTACAAATGGGATCCTAGCGCTGGTAAGTGGACATGATGAGTTTGATATTATGAATTGACATAATATCATAGTATCCTGGATATTATTATATATTATCAAGGGAGCTGGTCTTATCCATAAAGAATGATATTTTCATCAGAAGAAAGAAAATGCTTTAAGACTTGCCAAAGGGAAGGCATGGACCTCAGTATGGAAAGATATCCAGTGCCATAAGTCTGGGCTAGGAGTGGGCCACGTGAGTGGCCTAGCAGCATTTCAGTCAGATATCTAGAGCTTATTAAAAGTATGTACTTTGCAGAGAACTGTCTTTTAAAAGTGATTTGTTTTAAATTTATCTTTAAAAGCTTTAGAGTATGTTGTGTGACTCAGTAGTTAATGATGATAACTACTGTTGTCACTTAGTGATGGCGTATCATATATAATACTGAGCTTTGAGCTTCGTTTCATTTGCCTAATTTTCTCTTTAGTAGATTGATCCATTTGAATTTGCCGTCAGTTGTAGTTTTCTCCTTTGTTTCCTATCTATGGTTTTCTTTCTCAAATACTGTCGTAAAACTTTTCTAAGGTTTGTGTCCTCCTCTTCATCCCAGATGGCCCTCGTTCTGCAGGCTGGCGGGAACACATGGAACGACGGCGAAGGTTTGAGTTTGACTTTCGAGATCGGGATGATGAACGGGGTTACCGAAGGGTGCGCTCTGGCAGTGGAAGCATAGATGATGACAGGGATAGCTTGCCTGAATGGTGCTTAGAGGATGCTGAAGAAGAAATGGGCACATTTGACTCATCTGGAGCATTCCTGTCTCTAAAGGTAAGAAATTTGTTTTAAATATTATGACAGGTACTGACCTTCTTCCAAATCCAAATATGCTGTTAATCTTTGGCTTAATTTTCTTGCTACAGAAAGTACAGAAAGAGCCTATCCCAGAAGAGCAGGAGATGGACTTCCGGCCTGTAGAAGAAGGGGAGGAATGCTCTGACTCTGAAGGTAGCCATAATGAAGAAGCCAAAGAACCCGATAAGACAAATAAGAAGGAAGGAGAAAAGACAGACAGAGTAGGAGTTGGTAAGGCTCATTTTTGTCCTTCACTTTTTAAAAAAAAAAAATCACACTAAAAGTTTCCTAAGTTGTTAATTTAAGATTATGTCATGTTACAGAAGCTAGTGAGGAAACCCCCCAAACCTCCACCTCATCTGCTAGAGCAGGCACTCCTTCAGACCATCAGCCTCAGGAGGCACCACAGTTTGAGAGGAAAGAGGAACCCAAAACTGAGCAAATGGAAAAAGTTGAAGAAGAGAGTCGGACAGAAAATAGTCTATCAACCAAAGTACCCAGCAGGGGGGACGGTATGTATTTATGAGAGGCAACAAGCCAAACTTGGATTTTGCTGGGGCCAGTGATCACTGATAGGAGAGGCTTCTATTTATGCCTCTTTGAACTGCTTTTAGTGGTAAATTATTGGAATAGATTATTTTACCAGTAAACCTTCTCAAACACTGCTTCCCTTGTGTATCTATCTCAGAATTCATCAAAACAGAATTAGAAGCAGCAAAGTAGTATCATTTCCTAGGGTGCTATGATATAGCCACCCTGGTATCAGTCAAACAAACTGAGTTTGGGATCCTCTGTGGTAGTTTGATTCCCCATATCAGATTCCTTTTATGTAATGGCTATATGTGCATCCAGATGACACACCAAGAGGCCAAGATGAATCTGTGCAAGTCCATCACCTTTGCTGGAGAATAAGCTTAAAGTGTATCTCCTTCTCCAATGTCATTATATTGATTTTAAGTTGCTCATATACCTTTGTAGGTAATATTAATGTTCATTCCCATGTTTCTTCTTGGACATAAAATGACAGTATAATGCCTGATATTGAAAGGTGAATTGATTTATTCATCATAAAAATTCACACCGTTTAACATGGCCTAAGAGACCTTGCATGACCTGGCATCTGCCTCCCTCCGTACAGTTTCAGCACCATCTCTCTCTACTTTGTACTCTATTCACCAGCTTCACAGCCTGTTAGGTCCTGAAATGTGCCTTGTTCTCTTGCCTTTGTGCCTTAGCATATGCTTTTCTCTGTGCCTGAAACTCTCCCACCCCAAGTTCCCAAGCTAGGTTAGGTGTCTTCTCTTTCTTCTTAAACAACCAGCACTGTTTCTAACATAGCAATACAATATTATAAAGATCTGTTTATTCTCTTTTTTGCCCAATAAATACTATTTTGGTAGCTTGAACCAAGGATTTTTTGTTTCTCAGTTTTTTATGTCTGTCATAAAGCTGAATGAATGAATTCAGCAAGTATTTGAATCTCTACTATATATACAAGGCACCATGGGACTTGTATGTTTTGAGACCTCTTTCATTTTTCAATTATGATATGTCACCCCACCCCCAGCCCCAAATTACTTGTGGTTCATACTGTTAAATGTACATGCCTGGGGCCTTGCTCCAGGAGATTTTAGGGTGGGGTCTAGACATGTATATTTTGGGAAAGCTGCATAGGTGGCATTAAAGATGGAAATTCTGGATTTATAGTCTCTGGGGGAAATAAAGCATGTGTATATCAGTAACCTAGGACGAAAAGTAATGATAGGAATTCATGATTGGCAGACTCCTGGAATGCTTCAGGGATCAGGTGTCTTTGAGCTTGTCTTGGAATAATAAGTAGAATTTGGAGGTAGGTGTAGCTGGATGAATTAGGAGAGGGCATTCCAGTACTAGGTAGCAGTGAAAGCTACAGTGAGGAAGTAGGACTGATCCAGGTATGGGCAGGAAATCAGTTCCTGTTTTTATTTACATGAATTATGAGGTGTGAAAAGGAGGCTGGTGGGAAACACGGTTGGAACATATACTTGACAGCTCTCTGTGTAGGGTAGGCTGTGATGACAGATGGGCTGCTCTGAGACCTGTTGGTGTCCTGAGCAGTCACTGTGGTGTAGGCAGTACACTTGTAAAGGGAGGTAGTGGCAGATGAGATTTCAAAGTAGAAATTGGCAGGACGTGGTTACTGTTGTATATCAGGGCAAAGAAGACGGAAGAGTCAAAGATGAGTGAGGTGCCTGAGAGGATTATGGTATCCTTAGCAGAAAAAGAGTGGAAATTGAGGAGCACATTTGGGAGGGGAGAGAACAAATTCAATTATGAACATTGAGTCTGAGGTGTTGATGAGAAATTAGATAGCGATGGCCAGAGAGCATTTCTGAGTGAGGGGACTGTAGCTCAATGGGAAGAGTTTAGGGCCAGAGAGAATGAAAATTTAAAAGATTACACTTGTTAGGGGTGAGACGAATTGGACTGAGAATAGAACATGGATATTTCCTACTTTCAGAGGGTAGATAGAGAAGCCAGAGAAAAATCTTCAGAGGCAAGAATAGAGTGCAGGAAAATGAAGGAAGGAGAATGTTTCAGTTTAGAATTGGGAAGATAATGTCAGACTAAGGCTAGGTGACGGGGACTAGGAGGAGCTGTTGGATTTGGGGACTTTGGGTCACTGCTTATCGTTGGGAGAGAAGCTTTTCTGGGGGCTTGGGAGTGCAAGTCACGTTGTAGCGTGTGGTTGGTGGTGAGGTAGAGACAGGTTGTATAGGCTGTCCTGTTAAGTTTGGCAAAGAAAGGATAGAGTGAGAGGAACAGGAATTTGCAGAAGCTATCTGTAATTGAACAAACAAGGTTTCAAAGGGGAAACTGCAACTGTATCTAATTACTTCCATCCCCCTTTCCTTCTTAAGAACCTGCATGCTGAGAGGTTAGAAATAGGAACCAAGACACAACCTCTTTTGCAGTCTTTATTCTTATTGCAGAGAACCTCCTGCACTGTACGGGTAGACCGAGAGCTTTTTGTTGTCCTACAAAATGTGTTGCATTGAATTATGTTAATAATAACTTGAAATAGGTACTTAGTCAAAATAATTGCAGATATTTTTAATAAAGAGTTTTATGCTGAGATGTGGCATCTTCGAGGAGATTTGCAGTGCTGTTTAAATTGTCTTTACTATTCAGAGACATGATGTAAGGAAGGGATTGGACTGACTCTGTTTGTTTTCAGGAGGTAGACCTATAACTATTGGGTAGATGCTCTAGTGATACAGGTTGGCACTGTAAAAGGCCTTTCTAGATACCTTTTAATCTTATTTGTTGTCATCCTATGCAGGTACTTCTGTCATTCTAGGGAAAAATACTACACTTCTCCATAAGAAGTAGCAGCAGTGTTCATGACACAGTTCACGTATCTGTTGAGCCCATTTAGTAAGCTGCCCGACTTGATAGTTATTTTTCATAAGAGTCTCTATATTTTAAAGGATTTTTATCTGTCTACATTTTTTTCCTCTAGAAATGGTTCCTGGTGTCCAGCAGCCCCTGTCACAGATTCCTTCAGATACAGCCTCTCCTCTTCTCATCCTTCCACCTCCTGTTCCCAATCCTAGTCCTGCCCTCCGGCCAGTTGAAACACCGGTCGTAGGTGCTCCTGGTATGGGCAGTGTTTCCACAGAGCCAGATGATGAAGAGGGTCTCAAACATTTGGAGCAGGTACAAATCACGTAATCCTTTTTTTTTCCCTCTCGAACTGCCATAAACATTGAAAAGCATTAAATGAATATTCAGAAATGGAACTTTTGTGCACTAGGTTTTGTGTACTGCAATTGTTGTTTTTATGTCTAGTATGTATTTTTATGAGTAATTGTCTTTCAGATCATTTAATGCTTTTAAGTTTCTGCTGTGTAGAGTCATTATATCAGGTTATTTTTTGCTCTTCTGAGGTTGCCCTTAGCTGTTTGCTTTTCTTTTTTCTTTTTGGAAATTAATGGAATGCCAAAAATGGCGAATACAAGGCAGCTGTGGATAGGCACTGTGCCTTCTATTTTTTGCCTAAAGTGTAACAGGGAAAATAGTTAAACTCTCAGGATATTACCATCGTATTCATGTCTCTAGAGTTCCCTAAGATTTTATATACTATTGTTTATATGTAAAGTAAATGATAACTTGCTTTCTACAAAAGGAATTCTCTTTTCTTCAGGGTGGAGTGGTTGGTGGCAGGAAATGTTGAAGAAAGGGAACAGTGTCTTAGTAAAACTTGTAAAAGATTTTATTTGTAATTGTTTTAATTGAACCTTTTGATCTGTTAATGCTCATGTTTTTTATAGGTTTAGTTTGTATAACTTAGGATTGTTTATTTGTCTAAATGGCACTCTTAAAGTATGTTGATTAGAAGCTTGGGCTTTGATCCATACCAGCTTGTGTTTCAGTCGCATTTGGGTTTGCTTAATAATTCTGAGACCTTGAGCAAGACTTGACACCCTCTGAGCCTTAGTTTCCCCCTCTGTAAAATGGGGATAGTACCTATTTCATGGCATGTTAGACGAATTAAATTGTTGCCTGCTGTGTTATTTGTACAATGCCTCTCACAGATAAAGTAGTCCAAAAAAGGCAGACAATTTTTATATGTACAAGTATTAATTTAGCATCATTTGTTTCCACAATTCATTTTTTTAATTTTTCCCTTAGCAAGCTGAGAAGATGGTGGCTTATCTACAAGACAGTGCACTAGATGATGAGAGACTGGCATCAAAACTGCAAGAGCACAGAGCTAAGGGAGTCTCAATTCCATTGATGCATGAAGCAATGCAGAAGTGGTATTACAAAGATCCTCAGGGAGAAATTCAAGGTAGGTTGTTCCATTCTACTTTATGTACAGAAGTATGCCATTACCTCCAGATTCTGTAGGATGGTAATTATTTAACGTTAATTTGTATACTAGTAGAACAAAAGTCAGTGCTCCCGGCTTTCTTCATATATAGAAGGCTTGTTTATAGGTTCCCTCCATTGTACTTTACAGTTTCAGTGATGGGAGGGAGTCTAGTGAAAACAATTTGAATACAAGGCAGAATGTGATGACTAATATGATAGGGTTGTAAACAGTATGCTTAAGACATCCTCATTTCTGGCATGTCAGGTATTAACTAGGCAGTTGAGTTTCGTACATTCACTGTATTTCAGTCTCCCTACCATAAAAAAAGATGATGGCAGCCATCTTGGAAAACATTGGTTGGATGTTTCACTGAAGTGGAGTTGATATCATAAATGATGAAGAACTATTTAAAATATCTGAAAAAAGAGTACCGTATTATAAACGGATTGCTTAAAATATGTATGTGGTGCATGTTAGAGTAGAATGGGGAGAGAATGCTGTGAAGGACATTTGGTTGATTTTTCATTTCTGCTTTTGAAGTTTTTGCTTATAACCTGAAATTCGTTGTTCACTCTATTAGTGTCAGTTTCATGATAATGTTTTACCAAGTACAGCCTGTGACCTCTCTCTAACATCATTATTCCCTTTCTGTCCTCGGTCCCCCTACCCTGCTTTATTCTTCTTCATAGCATCTGTCACTACCTGGCACTGTATATATTTGTTCATGATCTCTTCACATGCCTGTAGAATCTGTTGTAATTAAAACATATACAGGTGTGTGTTTTAATTTAATTTACTCTGAGATAATTATAGCTTCACAAGCAGTTGTAAGAAGTAATATAGAGATTCCATGTACCCTTTACCCAGTTTCCCCCAGTGGTAACCTCTGACAAAACTGTAAAACAATACTACATCCAGGATATTTTGTTTTTTTAAAATTTTATTTATTTTTGGCTGTGTTGGGTCCCCATTGCTGCACGCAGGCCCTCTCCAGTTGTGGCAAGCGGGGGCCACTGCTTGTCATGGTGCCTGGGCCTCTTATTGCGGTGGCCTCTCTCGTTGTGGAGCACGGGCTTCAGGCACGCGGGCCTCAGCAGTTGTGACATGCAGGCTCAGTAGTTGTGGCTCATGGGCTCAGTAGTTGTGGCTCACAGGCTCTAGAGCGCAGGCTCAGCAGTTGTGGCGCACAGGCGCAGCTGCTCTGCGGTATGTGGGATCCTCCCGGACCAGAGCTTGAACCCGTGTCCCCTGCATTGGCAGGCAGATTCCCAACCACTGCACCACCAGGGAAGCCCCAGGATATTGACATATTGATACAGTCAAGATTCAGAACAGACTCTGAACAGTCTTTAACAGAGCAAAAGTTTTAAATTTTGGTGAAATGCAATTGATCAGTTTTTTTCTTTTATGGATTGTGCTTTGGGTATTAAGAACTCTTTGCCGAGCTTCACATCCCAAAGGTTTTTTCCCCCCAAAATGTATAGCCTTATGTTTTACACTTAAGTTGGTGTTCCATTTTGAGTTAATTTTTATATAAGGTATGGAACTTAGGTCAAGGTTTATTTTTTTTGCCTATGGATGTCCAGTTGTTCTGGGACCTTTTGTTGAAAAGTCTGTCTTTCCTCTCCTGAATTGTTTTTATACTTTTGTCAGAGTTTAGTTGAGCATATTTGAGTTGGTCGATTTCTGGGTTCGTTATTTTTATTTATTTATTTATTTTTTTGTGGTCATGCTGCACGGCTTATGGGATCTTAGTTCTCTGACCAGGGATTGCACCCATGCCCACTGCAGTGGAAGCGCAGAGCCCTAACCACTGGACTGCCAGGAAATTCCCTGGGTTCTTTATTTGATCGTTGTGTCTGTCCCTCCAGCCAATACTATGTAGTCTTGGTTACTATAGCTATAGAGTAAGTCCTGAAATTGGGTAGACTGATTCCTCTTATCAAAAGAGCATTTAGTTTTTCTAGTTTGCTTTTCCATATAAATTTTTGAATAATCCTGTCTATATTTACCAAAAATCTTGCAGAAATTTTAATAGGGATTATGTTAAACCTCTATATCATTTTTTTTAAAATGTATTTTATTTTTGGCTGCGTTGGGTCTTTGTTGGTGCGTGCAGGCTTTTCTCTAGTTGTGGTGAGCGTGGGCTACTCTTTGTTGCAGTGCACAGGCTTCTCATTGCGGTGGCTTCTTGTGTTGCGGAGCACAGGCTCTCGGCGCGCAGGCTCAGTAGTTGTGGCATACGGGCTTAGTTGCTCTGCGGCATGTGGGATCTTCCCGGACTAGGGCTCGAACCCGTGTCGCCTGCATTGGCAGGTGGATTCTTAACCACTGCGCCACCAGGGAAGGAAGCCCCCTCTATATAATTTCGAAGAGAATTGACATCTTTACCATGTTGAGTCTTCCCATCCATGAACATAGTATGTCTCTCAGTTTATTTAGATCTTTGATTTCTTTCATTAGCACTGTGTGGTTTTCAGCATAGATTCTGTACATGTTTTGATGAATGTATACCTAAGTATATGATTTTTTTGAGCAATAGTATATATTATATTTCAGTATCTGTTCACTGCTACTATATAGAATTGAGTTTTAGATGTTTGTCTATTCTGACATTGCTGAGCTCACTTATTAGTTCTAGGAGTTGTTTCATTAGAGTCCATAGGCTTTTCTGTGTAGACATTATTATTGTCATCTGCAAATAGGGACAGTTTTCTTTTTTCATTTCCAATATGTATGCCTCTTATTTCCTTTTGTTGCCTTACTGTGTGTTCCAACACTGTGTTGAATAAGAGGGGTGAGAGCTGACATACTTGCTTTGTTTATCCTACTTTCCTATCTTAGGGGAAACTTTAATAATAATTAAATGGTAATGTTAGCTGTTGAGTTTTTGTAGGTACTGTTTATCAAGTTAAGGAAGTAACAGCCTTTATTTTGAGAGCTTTTACCATGATCTGATATTGGATTTTGTCAAATGCCTTTTCCTCTGTTGATATGATCATGTGATTTTTCTTTAACCAGTTAAATATGGTAGATTACATTGACTAGTTTTTGAGTTTTGAACCAGATTTGCATCCTTGGAATAAACTCCATTTGGTCATGCTGTGTAATTCTTTTTATATATTGCTGAATCTTACTCAGTACCATATTGTTAAGGATTTTTGTGTCTCTGTTCCTAAAGGATATTTTTGTAGTTTTTTGGGTTTTTTTTGGTATTCTCATTGTCTCGTTTTGGTATCAGGGTAATATTAGCTTCATAAAATGAACTGTCACTTATTTCCTCCCCTTCTATTTTATGGAAAAGATTATTTAGAATTGGTGTTAATTGTGTGTGTGTGTGTGTGTGTGTGGTTCTTTTAAATAGTTTGTACCTCTTACTTACCCCTATATTGCCCCTCTCCCCTTCCCTCTTCCCACTGGTAACCACTAATTTGTTCTTTATGTCTGTGAGTCTGTTTCTTTGTGGTTATATTTACTAGTTGTATTTTTTAGATTCCACATGTAAGCGATATCATACAGTATTTGTCTTTCTTTGATTTATTTCACCAGTCCATCCACATTGTTGCAAATGGCAAAATTTCATTCTTTTTTTTATGGCTGAGTAGCATTCCATTATATATGTATATACCACATTGTCTTTATCCATTTATTCTAAGTGTTGATGGACACTTAGGTTGCTTCCATATCTTGGCGATTGTACATAATGCTTCTGTAAACATAGGGGAGTGTGTTTCGAATTAGTGTTTTTGTTTTTGTTTTGTTTTGTTTTTTTGATGTATATACCCAGGAATGGAATTGCTAGGTTACATGGTAGTTCTAGTTTTAGTTTTTTGAGAAACATCCATACTTTTGTCACAGTATGTTAATTCTTTAAATGTTTGGTAGAATTCTCCAGGTATTTTGCTATCTTTGGAGTGTTCTGTAAATGTCAATTAGATCTTATTGGTTGATGTGGTGTTGAATTCTGTAGTCTTTCTGATTATCTGTCTAGTTGTTCTATCAGTTGTTCTCGTTGAATTCTTCAACTTGTGGATCTGTTCTGTGTCTCTTTTCAGCTATCAGATTTTGCTTCACATATTTTGCAGTTTTGTTGTTTGGTGCATGCATTTTGGTGGATTGACCCTTTATTATTATATAATGTCCCTCTCTGTCTCTGGTAATTTTCTTTGCTCTGAAGCCTACTTTATTAAATACTAATATAACCACTTCAGCTTTCTTTTGATTAATGTTTGTTGGATATATCTTTTTCTATCCTTTCATTTTATACCTGCCTATATTATTATATTTTAAGTGACTTTCTTGTAGATAGCCTGTAATTGGGTCATGTTTTCAATTGTATTTATTGGGCCATGTTTCTTGTTGCTCACTTCTTCAGCTCCAAATTTGGGAAGTGTGAGGTAAAATGAAAACCCAGGGAATTCACCACCAGCTGGTTCCTCAGGCTCCAAGGCCTCTAGTCAGTCTGCTGCCTTCTCTCTACCTGTAGGAGTCTTTTTGTTTGTTTGTTTTATATGTAATGTCCAGGGTTTTTAGTTGTATTTGGCAGGAGGAGCAGGGAGAAGTACATCTATTCCACCTTCCCAGAGGTGGAAGTTCCAGGGTTTGGTTTTGTTTACTGCTGTATCTTCCTGCCTGGACCTGTGTGACTGGTGTTCAGTAAATAGCTGCTGAATCAATGGTTATTGATAGTGAGTTTGTTAATTTTATGTATAAAATATTCGGTTATTTCTTATTGTAAAACATCTAGAGATTGTTAGGTTTTTTTTTTCCCTTACCAAGGCCAGATTTAGTCTTACCTAGATAAATAAATTATAATTTTTCTTAATTTAATTCATTGTTGTTTATATTTTGCCTAACCTCCAGTAAACTCTAACAGAAAATGAAAATTAGAGAAGAGGATATTCAGCCCTTCATATTTATTTCTCTGTGCTACAAAGTCTAACAAACTCTAACTCTTTTTAGTGTTATGCTTTTCTGACAAATGAACTTTAGAGATTGAGTGAGTTGGAGACATTATGCTCCTTAAAATAATTAAAACACTGCTGAGAAATTGGGATGTGTAGACATAGGCTTATTTCTAAATTGTTTCTATAGTATTTTATTAGTTTGAGGCCTGTTCACCACTTTTTGTGATAAATTAAGATGTTATACAAGATATTTGATAGGTGCCACCTGAAACAGATCGTTACCTCTGGGTGAGGAGCAGACCCTGGAAATATATTTTTCCTCTTTAGCTAGAAAGGATTCTTACTGCCTTTCTGTTTAATTAATGCTGTTGTAGGTCCCTTCAATAATCAGGAGATGGCGGAATGGTTTCAGGCGGGCTATTTCACTATGTCTTTGTTGGTGAAGAGAGCATGTGATGAAAGCTTCCAACCTCTTGGTGATATCATGAAAATGTGGGGAAGGGTTCCTTTCTCTCCTGGACCAGCTCCCCCTCCTCATATGGTAAGTACCTTATGCTTCACCCAGAACACATAGTGGACACAGAAGCACTTGCTTCTCTTTGTAAACAGATGTTACATCTAATGAAGAAGAAACTAGTTCCTTGTAAGTAATTAACTGAAATGGCAATGGGAAGTCTGAGTCAGAGACTACATACCTAGCTATAATGATCTTTTCAAAACTCAAATACCTGTGTACCTGTGTCTGTCCTTCTCTCTCTCTCTGTCTCTCTGTCTCGCACGCACGTGCACACACACAAACGCCCTCCCTCCCTCCCTCCCTCTCCCTCTCTCTCTCTCTTTTTCTCTCTTTTTCTCTCTTTCTCTCTCAAGAAACAGAATCCTGCAGTAGCTTTCCATCAGGTGTTGAAAGGAGAACATCTTATCCTGGCCTCCCTACCAGGTCACGCATGTTCTGGCTCCTTACCTTTCTAAGTTCATTCCAGAGCTTTGACCTTTATCTGCTGTGCTTCAACACAATTGACTTAGAGTTTCTTGTTGCCTTTAGTTAGAATGCACATTCTCCTCTCCATTTATTTGCCTCTTGCTTTCTGACTTCCGTTTGATTTTTGCCTTAAAGCAAATGTTACTAATATAAAATTCCATTGCTTCAGAATATTTTGAAGACTTTTTTATTTTTTTAACATTCGTTACTGATATTTTAACTAAAGATTAGATCATAACGTAACCCTTTTAGTATGCTGACCCTGGAGTGCCTTTGAAGGGGAAGTCTTTTTCTGCAGCTGCTCCTGGGCCTCTCCCTGTTTAGTTCCTTTTGGGGGGCTTTGGCTCTGTGCCTCTCTTTTGCTTCTCGAGGTTGGAGTGTCTGGTTGCTGGCCATAGTCAAAAGTGGCCATAGTCAAAAACCTGTAGTGTGAACACTGGATTTCTACAGTAATATCCATTGATTTACTCACCAATTATATATTGAAGATCTGTGCCAGGGCTGTGTTAGGTTCTTACGTGATGAAGATGAATAAGTCAGTCACAACATCTGTAGCCAAGAGTGTTCATAAGTGAGAACAGTGGCTATCAAACTTCTGATCACAGCCCATAGGAAAAAAAAAAAGATTTTTATGTCACTACTCTGTACACTTATTAATGTGCAGGTATATCTGAAACACGTTTCACAAAACATTTGGTGCCATGTACATATTTTCTTTCCGTTTCTTTTCTTTTTTTTCCCAATATGTAAATGTTGATCTTGACCTAGTAATTGATTTCACAATCCAGTAATTGATTTTACAATCCACTGATGGGTTAAGACCTCCTATAGATTGGAGAGCAATGAAAATTCCTAGGTGAGGGGAATTATTCCTGGCATTTCTGTTGTAAATCCAAAGAAAAATTGTATTGTGTATTACTGTATATAAATTGTATTTTTACCACCTACTCAGAAATTGGGATGGGTTTTTATCTTGCATGTTTCAGCGCTGAAAGCTGATCACTTGGAGCTTGGCATGCTTGCTCTAATCCATTTCCTGACTTCCAATTATAGGGGCTGGACCTCAGTCAGACCCACTTAAGGGGAAAATCCATGGGAAGCTCTGCTTCCTGTCAGGTATTGCCTTTGCCCTTAAGTTAATTTTAGACTAACCTAGTGTAGCTTCTATCCATGAATATTTAATAAGAAAGAAAAAGTCCTTTAATTTCAGATGTACCTCACCCCAAGTAAATCATATATCAAATGTTTTTTTCCAAACTATAATCAGTGTGTAATAGGGATATAAACTGTTCACTAATGATTTGTCTAAATTTAGTCTGTGTCATCCTTATGCTTTTATTTCTACTATCTTTACTTCACTTTTCATTTTTTTTTCCACTATTAGCTTTCCAAAATTTAAATTCCAGCCGTGTTATTTGACATATAAGCTAAAAAACAGGGTTTTACTACAGCTTACTTAAAAAATTTTTTTTTTTTTTTTGGCCAGTGTGCGGGACTGCAGTGAAGCACGTGGGCTTCTGTCTAGTTGTTGCGGGCTCCAGGGCGCGTGGGCTCTGTAGTTTGTGGAACGCGGGCTCTCTCGTTGAGGCACGTGATCTCAGTAGTTGTGGCGTGCGGGCTTAGTTGCTCCGCGGCATGTGGGATCTTCCCCGACCAGGGATCGAACCCACGTCCCCTGCATTGGAAGGCAGATTCTTTACCACTGGACCACCAGGGGAGTCCCAACTACAGCTTATTTTTAAACTCATGGTGTATTAATAGCAATAGAAACACCTAATTTTTGGATAGAGAGTTAAACAGTTTTCAGAGCTCTTTTATGTTCCATTTAATTTTACATTTCTCATCCCCTTTAAGAAGACATACTAAGAAGACATACTTATATACTACCTCCCTGTAATTGTTATGTGTCATTATAAAATCCTACCATAAGATTTAATTTTACTCCTTTCTGTTTTGTCCTACTTCTCTAATTTCTCCATAATCTCCAAATTTATAAATCACTTTTAAGATTGGGAGAATTATACATTTATTTAGTTACAGCAATAACTCTGGAGTACAGTACAACATTCAGCTTCAAGGGCAGGAGGGGAGAACAGCAGCTAAATAAGGAACCTTTCTCACCTTAGGGAATCTCTTATAATGCTGACACCACCTTCTTCCACTAGATGGCACTAGTTTCTAAAGATGCCTGATTTTTTTTTTTTTTTTTTTTTATGAATTTATTTATTTATTTATTTATGGCTGAGCTGGGTCCCCGTTGCTGTGTGCGGGCCCTCTCCAGTTGCGGCGAGTGGGGGCCATGCCCCGTTGTGGTGCGCAGGCCTCTCACTGCTGTGGCCCCTCTTGATGCGGAGCACGGCTCCAGGCACACGGGCTTCAGCAGTTGTGGCACGTGGGCTCAGTAGTTGTGGCTCGCAGGCTCTAGAGCTCAGGCTCAGCAGTTGTGACGCACAGGCCCAGTTGCTCTGCGGCATGCGGGATCCTCTCAGACCAGGGCTCGAACCCGCGTCCCCTGCATTGGCAGGCAGATTCTCAACCACTGTGCCTCCAGGGAAGCCCTGATTTTTTTTTTTAATAGGTGTTTTGGGTTTGGGGTGTAAAGGTGGGGCGGGATGTGAAGGTCTAGGTTTCATTTTCCTTTCAGATGTAAGTACTAAGTTGCTTTTAGGCTCTTTCAGTTTATTCAGTGGTATTTCTTTCCTTCACCCCTTTACTCCCAGGGAGAGTTGGACCAGGAACGACTGACCAGGCAGCAGGAACTCACAGCCTTATACCAGATGCAGCACCTCCAGTATCAGCAGTTCTTAATACAGTAAGAGCAGTAATGTGGTTGGGTGCACTGCAGCACCAAAAGGGCCTTTAGATATAATCTGCTCCCAAATTTCACCATTTACAGCAGAAAACTTTAATAGGATACTTCAGTCTTCAAATCCAGCTAGTGGCATGTTACCATTATACATTCTAAGTTTGGTCTTACCTTGTTTCTTAAATACCAGAAGTTTGTAGAAGATGACACATAACTATAATTTTGCAAGATCTTTATCTCCTAAAGCAAGAATCAACAAACATTTTAAGAACTAAGTGTCTTCTAAATGGCTCAACTTTGAATGCTGCAGAGAAAAGACAGATGAGGGGGCAGGAAAGAAGTAAAAGTTTATGCTATTAGTAGTGGTATGGAATGATGGTAGTCACTTAGGTTGTGGGTCTCTTTCATAGAAGAAGTAAGATTTGCTATCATCTGGTGCAGAGGTTGGCAAACCGGCAAACTACCTGTTTTCATAAGTAGAGTTTTATTGGAACAGAGTCATACCCATTTGTTTGTGTATTATCTATGGCCACTTTTGCACTACAGAGGCAGAATTGAGTAGTTGTGAATGTCCTGCAAAGCCCAAAATATTTACTGTCTGGCTCTTTACAGAAAAAAAATTGTCCACCTCTGATCTAGTGAAAAAAAATCTTACCTAAAATTTTCCAAGCTGAAACGTATAAATTTGAGGATTTTTATACAAGTGATTTTATTTTTGCAAAGAGTTCTTCATGTGGAAATAGCTGTTAGTTTGAATCTGTTTTATTTCTCACTTGTTTTCTAATAAAAGGTTACTGTCATCTTAAGGGAACTTTCCAGTTTTGGGCATTTCATTAATTTTTTTTTTTTTCTGTTCTCTTTCCACTCAGAAGCATGCCATCTATTAGTTCAGTTCTTTCTAGAATAAAGTACAGAACTGTTTGTGTGACTATTATGAAGAATTGTAAAAATATATTTGATAGCTATTTCTAATGGTGTTTTTTGTTGGGGGGGCCTGAACTTTGCTTTTAATGTCTCAGTAAAGTGAACTAAATGTGGATAGACAGATTATACTGTGTTTTACTTTTTGAAGACAACAATATGCACAAGTTCTGGCTCAACAGCAGAAAGCAGCACTGTCTTCCCAGCAGCAGCAACAGTTGGCACTTCTTCTCCAACAGTTCCAGGCACTAAAGATGAGGTTGGTGGTCGTTTCCATGATGTGTCACATTGTGTGTGTATGTTTTAAAGAAAGAGAGGAAAGGAAATTTTTTGTGTGTTGTGTGTAAAAATAGAATATAGTTTTAAAAATAATAATAATTAAGTAAAGCATTTATTTGGTCTTTTTACTCAGAGGATAAATTTTGAATAATAACCAAAGAATACTAAGAACGCTTGAAAAGCAGTGTAGGCTCATGGAATCAGCAACAACAAAAAAATGTAGTCGATAAGTTTAATCTCATTTTTACCTGTGATGTCTCAAGAAAGATATTAACAATGCCACACAGGGTTATAATTTTCCAGACCCAAAAGCCATTAAGGTAGGTCTAAGGAAAAGGAAATTATGCTAAAAGTCTTAAACTCCTGCTGTTTCAAGTTAACATTCAGGGTAGTATGTGTTGTGTCTCCTACAAGGAGATGGGCAAGGTGGTAGGTCTCCTGCACGCCTCCTGCAGAGGTGTCAGTCACTGCTGTTAAAAACTTTACTGTCCACTTTAACCAGAACCTTTTATATTTCTCTTCTGAGCCATAACCCATTCTGCAGGTAGGCAGGTTAGGTGTTCAGGTCTCCATTTTAAAGATGGGCAAACTGGGACTCAGAGTGGCTAAAGGACTTGGTTGACATAATACACAGAACACTTCAGAGACAGAATTAAAATGCAGACCTTTTGACTTAAGGTCTGTGAGTTTTTTCATGATAACATGATGCCTCTGTGACTCTCATTGAGATATTCTGGATTTTTTAAAGACAGTACGCATATCCATTATTTGGAAATCAAAATTAGCTAATACCTCGAGGGTCCAGAAGTGTGGTTATCTTGCCTCTATCCTTTTTCCTTTCCTAAATGTTTTGGTAGTGTTATGTTTTAGTTAAAACAATGAAGTTTTCTGGCCAAATAACCTCAGAAACCTACAAATAACCTGGAAATACCTCTTTATTTTCGTGGATGACAAGAACAAGTTAATTTTCTAATTTCCCTTTTGCAGAATATCTGATCAGAACGTCATTCCCTCAGTAACTAGGTCTGTGTCAGTGCCAGATACTGGTTCTATCTGGGAACTCCAGCCAACAGCCTCACAGCCTACAGGTAAAACCGTAGATTGGCCTTTAGTATAGCTCCAAGGATTTAGACTCGTATAACTTATAATTCCGTTTTTTTAAAAGCATATCAGTTTTTCGACGTGTTTTGTATTGGATATTAATAAAAAGTGAGTTTTTTGTTTTGTTTTGAAAATAGCTGTTAAGGAGTTGCTAGAAATTACTTAGTAGGTAGATTTCTTGAACTTGAGTCAGCCTCTCTTTTTTTATGTTGTTCTAACCACTGTAGAAAGTCTTTTGAATTGTTTTTATTCTCTTCACCAGAGTGAGAAAAAGAGTAAGTTAAAAACATAAGTAACGATGATCTATTCTTTTGAGTCGAGGGTTGATGAGTAGTTTAACACTGCAGGTACCCAGAAATTTTGGGAATAGAAAAGGCTACCCTTACCTCATTCGCTCATCTTTTTGCATCAAATTGGAAAATTTAGGGCTGGGATTTTTGAAACATTTTGATATTGGTGCAACGCTTCTGTTTCTTAAGGTCTGATCCATGCAGAGGTGTGGGTAGTTTGAACCATAGATAGTCCTTACAAGAGGTAAGGGCCATGGGCTCTGATGGGGTTTTCTTTGAACCATTGAGCCATTCATGTCATAGTTCTCTTGCTAACATTGACCCTGGGGATTATGGCAGGAGAAGGACTGATTATTATCTCTTATCAACTCAACTTCCCATGCTGTATGTACCTTATTTTTTCTTGGGAGTCATTTATAGTTGTTAGGATGTTAAAATAGTCCTCACTTTTTAAAAAACTATAAATACCTTATTAAATATTTTCTCTCTTCAGGTATGATGCAATTAAGGTCCTTTACAAACAGTCCATTGGTTTTATGCAGACAATAATTTATAGTCCATAAATAGACTATAATAGGAATGTAGGAAATAGAGAATGCTGAAAAGTGGTGTCAGCAAACCTTACAGGCAATAGGAAAACAGGCTCAGAAGCCTTTATCTGTTCATTTACTTTGATATCAGACCCTGTGCTGCCTTTCAGGTCAATAGGACCCAGTGTCATCTGTGAGACCTGCCTGGCCTTTCCAGAGTACTCCCAGCTCCAGCTGTACTTCTCTCTCTCTGTCTCTCTCTCTCTCTGTCTCTCTCTCTCTCTGTCTCTCTCTGTCTCTCTCTCTCTCTCACTCTCTCTCACTCTCTCTCTCTCTCTCATTGAAATGCAATTCATGTAACATAAAATTAACCACTTTAAGATGAACAATGTAGTGGCATTTAATACATTCACAATATTGTGCAACCCCTGAGTTCTCTCTGGTTCTCAGCCATACCTCTCTTAACCCCTCTCTCCACTTCGTATGCAGTAAGACGTTGTGTGGCTACTGGAAATACCGTTGGCTTTGGGATCTATATACACTGGGATTTAAATCCTCGCGTGGCCGTATGCTTGCCATGTGTCCTTGGGAATGTTACAAAACTACCTCTGACCCTTATTAGCTTGTTCATCTGTAAAAATGGGGATATGAACAGATATGGGTTTTTTTTGAGGATGAAATTAGTTCCCAGTAAATGCCTGGTACTTTGTTCTAGATGTGTTGAAGGGTATTGATATAAACTAGAGCCCACTGGTAGTTCAGTCTACTTAGAAGCAGAACAGATGTAGGTGATGGAGCTCATTCAGGGACAGGGAAACAGCTTTTTTTATTATGCTTCTGGATATTTAGCCATGTATGTAAGCTCTGACATGCCTCACTCTTTTCCCCTCCTGTCTTACAGTTTGGGAAGGTGGTAGCGTATGGGATCTTCCCCTGGACACCACCACTCCGGGACCTGCCCTTGAACAGCTTCAGCAGATGGAGAAGGCCAAGGCTGCAAAGGTCTGAAACTCATTCTTCCATAGCAATGCATGCTTTCCAATCGCAGGTCGTAGACGTTTGTTTATTGATGTCTATTTCTCTAGCTACTTATACATGTTTCCTTTTAGTTCATGGCTACGTAGCTGGTTTAAGCACACTCATACTCTGTCATTTTTGTGCCGCCTTCTCCCCAAAAAGACCTCACAACAATTTAAAGTAACAAGTTTAAATTAAATCAATTAAAATAGGTTTGTCGACACATGAATGATCATGGTGGTATGTTACGTTATTCATGGTATAAATTCTTGTAAGATCATAAGAAAATATCCACTACATAGCTTATTATAAGACCCTTGATCTGAGGCTTGAGTTCCCACATTGAATCTTTATGGTGGTGTTTGTTTACGCCTCTTAGTGCCTAAGACGTGCAGCTGAAAAGCTCAACATTAATATTACATTCTGTGTTCTATTCACATCTTCTGGAGGAGCTAGGAATCTTGAATTTTGGTTTTAGTACTTGTAAGAAGAGGTTGTCTGTGAACACTTAGTGTTATTGAAATGATTTCTGGGTTCTCATGCTCCGAGAGAATCTTGTTCCTATTTTATGTTTAGTGCGTTCTTATCCCGAGGTAGTGACAGTATCCTTAGAGTGCCCAGAATATGAAATGAGTTCAGAGTCAGGATTTGTCTCCATATGAGTGACAGACCATAATTGAAACAGTTCTTGACTTTGTTCTTGTTCCATAGCGCTTTGTGTTGGGAACACATAGATGACGAAAGTGTGCATTCTCGTCTGGTGTGTGTGTGTTGGGGGCGTTGGGAAGATGACGACACAGGCAAGCAGCACAAGGAAGCACATGGGCCAGCTACCTAGCAGGAGAGGTGGGGGTCAGGAATTGGGTGACACTTCAGATGGATGGTAATACCTGAGCTCGTTTCACTTGAAGGGTAGTAGGTAGTAGGATTTAGCTCAGTTGAAGGGTTTTGGGTTGACAGAGTAGAAGGAGGTGAAAATTAAACTGCAGTTGGAGGAAACAAGACCTGTAAAGGCTAGAAGTGTATGAGAACATCCTGGCACAGCAAACAGTTAAATAATTTGGTCCAGTCTAGAGCTGGTGTGTCTGAGGAATAAATGATGAGAGAGATTAAAGAAGATGAGGCAGGCCAATCAGGAGGATCCTTACCCGTGTCACGTTAAAGACTTAGGATTTATTTTCAAGGTGAAGGATGGTATTAAATGTAAGCCTGGGAGTGATTTTTTTTGGTGGAGGTTGGATGTTGAACTGGGGACTCTGGGCAAAATAGGATGCTGGGAAACCAGGTAAGAGACTGTTAAGAATGTGGATGAGAAAGTAAAGGCCTGAATTATATGTGTGTTAATAGGACTGGAGATTAGGGGCTGGATTTGACTAGTATTTGGGAATTATACATGATAGAGTTTGTTAAGTGGTTGATCTTCAGATTTTAAAGAACTTCTGTAATATTTCAACAACGTTGCGGTTGAAACCTTGTTAGACACATTGTTAGATCTTCAATCAGAAAATCCTTTGTAGGGATGAGCAAAGAAATGCCATCCCAAGAGAATTCTGATGTTACTCTCAACACAGGCCACTCTCCCACACATAGGAGATGTGCAGTAGTAGTATGGAGCGAAGAGACAGGTAAAAAGTAGGGGTGAGTGCATCCAGCTTAGAAGAGCATAAAACTTTCTGGTTACTATGACATAGCAGAGCTTAGAGCTCTCACAGAGTTGCTTTCATCAGCCACTTGCACTACACATTAACTGAGTGAATGGTAGTGTCTCCACCTTCCAGTGTCTGCACTGACCAGCTCCTACCAGTACTTGTCAGTGATGTTGGAGCGTTCTGTGCTTGGCCTCAAGTTTCTAAGAGCACCCTTGTGTAACCACAGCTAGAGCAGGAGAGAAGAGAGGCAGAAATGAGGGCAAAACGGGAAGAGGAGGATCGAAAGAGGCAAGAAGAACTCCGGAGACAACAGGAGGAAATTCTTCGGAGACAGCAGGAGGAAGAAAGGAAAAGGCGCGAGGAAGAAGAGCTTGCCCGAAGGAAACAGGTATGTCTGAGAACTCTGCTTGTACGATTAGCACTGAAGGAGGGCCTGCGGGATATCTTGCTCACTCCCGTCATTTCACAGGTCATAGTTCTCCTGGAGAAGGCTCCCCTAAGTTATCAGGGAGTTAGCAGGATTGGGATTAGAATTTTAGGAGACTCACTTCCCTTTAGGAAAAATGTCTGTCACCCACTAACACTCACTGGAGGGATGTTCTTCAGTCCTAGTAACTCATTGGAGTTGATTGCTTTTACATATTTCCTGGGGTTTTATAAACCAGTTAGATTTCAGAAGTAATTAAGTCCTGAAGTATTTATAACCTGTGACACTGAATGTTTTTCATGTTTTGTGGCCACTTGTATTTCTTTTTTGGGAATTCTTTATTATGTGCTTGGACCTTTTTCTACTGGGATTTTTAAAGATCCCATTTGAAAGAATCCACTCTGAAACAGCCCCAGTGTCTAGCCTTTGCTTCACATTTCCTTCTTGTTTTTTGCCCTTAGAGGAACTCTGAAAAAAGGCATCCATGTCCATGCTGAGATTAGATTAGACCTACTAGTATTTCTTAGAGTCACACTCTACATTAGCAATGTAAGGACTTTAAGAAGCATTGCAGTAAAGAAATCTGTTTAATTCTGTGTTGCTAATTATTTCTTCCTAAGTTATTTTGACAGTGAGACCCTTTTCTGTATATTTAATATCCGTGAGACTTTAGTTCTAGCAACGTGTTCTGAGACACGTTGACTGGAAAACTTCTCTACCTCACCAGGCATTTTTGGTGGCTATGTTGGTTTGACTTCTCTATGCCTTAGGTTCTCATTTGATTAAAAAAATAGGGACTGATGGTAGCAACAGAGAAACCGAAGCCTGCGTCCTTTTTAGTGTTAATCAGGAAGTGATGTAGCTAATGTAGAAACCAAGATGGACTTTGCACGTAGTGCTATTTAACTATTAATATTTTAAATACAGATTATTTTAACTCTTAATATACCTACTCCCCAGCTCACATATATACTTTTTACCCTAGATCCTGGTTAGATACTTTTTATATATACTGTTAACGGATCTTAGCAGCACATAGCCTGTTTCTTTCCAAATTATGATGTAATATATTAATTGAGATGCATGCACGTGTGCGCACACACACTTGCTTTTTTTTTAATTTAGGAGGAGGCTCTGCGACGCCAGAGGGAGCAGGAAATTGCATTACGGCGACAACGAGAAGAGGAAGAAAGACAGCAGCAAGAAGAAGCTCTTAGAAGACTGGAGGAAAGGAGAAGAGAAGAGGAAGAAAGGCGGAAGCAGGAAGAATTGTTACGGAAGCAGGTGATCAGATGGTTTGCTCTTCTCATTGCTTCTTTGAAGCTAGGAATTAGTGATTAAGAAAGTATTAGGATATTAGGAGAGCCTGTCTAAAACTTTTTCAGGTTACTGCAAATTACCAAAAGAGATCTAACTGACTCTTAGTACTTTTGTGATAACCATCCCACATGTAATTATAAAAGCTGAACGAAATGTCAAGGAATCAAAACGAACAAAAAACGAGGGCACCAGAGAAAAATTGAAGGCCTGCTCTTAAAAAACCAAACGTGAGATCTGGAGGTTGACAACTTTTTGCCTTAGGGTACTCCCAAGTTCACACTTTTAGAGTGCACAGTTCCTTGCTGCTTAGTAAATCCATAAGTTGATGGCAGCGATGACCATTATCTGATTCTGCTGTAACCATGCCATTCTGCTGTTACGGGCAGCCAGAATCCCTAAAGCCTTTCATTTTAATGTTTAAGAACAGAGGTAGATTTTTTTTATTAGTAGATTTTCTTTTTAGATCAGTTGGAGATTTTCAGAAAAATTGGGATGACAGTGCAGTTTCCCCTATTATTATTTTACATTAGTAAGGTACATTTGTTATAATAAACCAGTATTGACACATTAATAAATCGGTATTGATGGATTATTATTAACTGAAGACCATAGCTTATTACCGTTTCTTCAGCTTTCCCCCAGTGTCCCTTTTCTGTTCCAGGATCTTATCCAGAATATTTCATTTAGTTGTCATGTCTCCTTAGCTTGTTCTTGGCTGTGACAGTTTCTCAGACTTCCCTTGTTTTTGATGACTTTGGCAGTTTTAAGGAATACTGGTCAGTGGATTGTAGGGTAACACTCTATCAGAGTTTGAAGTTTTTCTCACAGTCAGACTGGAGTTATGGGTGTTTCAGAAGAAGATCACAGAAGTTAAGTACCATTTTCATCACATACCAAGGGTACATATTACTAACATGACTTATGGTTATTGATGTTGACATTGATCACCTGGCTGCAGTAGTGCTTGTCAGGTATCTCCACTGTAAAGTTACTCTTTTTCCCCCTTACTGTACTCTTTGGAAGGAAGTCACCATGTACAGCAGTCCACACTTAGGGGTGTAGGTTTCTGTTTGTTGGTTGGATTGACACGAAGCTGGAGATTACCTGCTTTTGCTTAAGTTCTTGATTGAAACTCTTTGAGAAATCTAAATTCTTTAGAGGTAGATAGATAAGTTCCAGGTTAGATTCTTTGGTTTATTCATTTAACGGTTAATAGATTTTGTTAATATACTATATGCCAGTTATGATTGTTTGCTGGTAGAGTCCAAAACTTTTAAAGAAATTGTTTCTGTACTCAAGAAGCTCACAGACTATGTAGGTGATGATTTTACAAGAAATAAATGCCACATTTTGGATGCTTTCAGCTGAAAAATCAAAATATTCACCTAAAAATGGCTTAAACATTAGATAACGTTATTGCCTCACATATGAAGGTGTTCTTTGGAAATAAGGCAGTTAAACATGAATTTCCGTGACTCAGTGGTATCATTAAGGATCCAGGTCCTTTGCATGCTTCTCCTCTGTCATCTCCTGGTGTGTTGACTTTTCCACCTGATGGTGTACACTCTGCTCTACCATTTCTTGGTATGTTGACCTTTTTTTTTTTGGCTGCAATGGGTCTTAGTTGTGGCACATGGGATCTTCATTGCAGTGTGTGGGCTCTTTGTTCCGGCACGCGGGCTTCTCTCTAGTTATGGTGCGTTGGCTCAGTAATTGCAGCTCGCAGGCTTAGTTGCCGGCGGCACGTGGGATCTTAGGTCCCCGACCAGGGATCAAAACCACGTCCCCTGCATTGGAAGGTGGATTCTTAACCACTGGACCACCAGGGAAATCCCGGTGTATTGACTTTTGAGTTCATATTTTTTGCCTAATGGTTGGGAGTTTTGGATATCATACCATACCCTGTACCCAAAAAGGGAGTGGCCCTTCTCTCATGCTTCTTTCCTTTTGTCTGGGAAGAATATCTTTTCTGGAAGCATCCCTTTGGCCTAAATCACATCACATGGCTGTCCCTGTTTACACTGGAAGCTTAAAAAGCAAAATCTGGCATTTTAAACCTCTGATGTGACAGGAGGGTCTGTCTGCAAAGAAGCAACCTGAAAGGAATTTTTGCTGGATAGGTAGTAACAGTTGCTGCCACAGATGGGCTAAGAGCAAACAGAGAGAGGAGGACAAGGTATACTTGGGCATAATCAGAAGGCAGAGGGGAAGTCTACCTCCTGAAGGCTAGGGAAGTACTCGTAGAGTGGCTGGTGTCTGCCCTGAGTTCTGGAGAATGGAGGGGAATGTGCTGTCTGGATAAGCTAGGCAGGGGTCCCTAACCCCCGGGATCTAATGCCTGATGATCTGAGGTGGAGTGGATATAATAATAACAGAAATAAAGTGCACAATAAATGCAATGAGCTTGAATCATCCCGAAGCCATCTCACCCCCACCCCCAGTCCTTGGAAAAATTATCTTCCACGAAAACGGTCCCTGGTGCCAAAAAGGTTGGGGACCGCTGAGCTCTAGAGCATTGCAGGTGCAGTAATCATACTGCATGGAGGAAGGCCAAGAAAATTCCACGGGGCACATGGAATGGTTTTGAGGGAGGGAAGCAGAAGGAAAATGAGCCAAGGTACTGCAGAAAGTAGTAGAGGGGTAGAGGATGGGTCAAAGAGAGACCTTCCAAGGGGCCTGTGAGCCATAACGGGTGAGAACCTGGCATGGAATTAAGTGGTTTTGTAAAGTTGCTTTGGGTCCGGAACTGGCTGAGGCTTGCCTGGTAATCCGTATTCTTGCAGGTCCTGATAGCTCTTTGCACTCAGCACCCTGAAAAGCTATGTCTGCCTCAATGTTGGAACAGTTTCCAAGAGACTTGCCTGCAGTTTGTGGTGATCTCTAAGAGATCAGTACTTACACAGATCTTCAAAGTGACATTCCTTTTATGTAGAAATTAGCAAATAAACATGATAATTATCCTGTGAGCATGCCTCTGACTGAAGCCTTGAAAAGTGATTCAGATTTTTTTTTAAAACACAGTTAAATTTTATTATCATTTACTTTTCCTTCTGGGAAGGAAGAGGAGGCTGCGAAATGGGCCCGGGAAGAAGAAGAAGCCCAGCGTCGATTAGAGGAGAACCGGCTGCGAATGGAAGAGGAGGCAGCCAGACTCCGGCACGAGGAGGAGGAACGGAAGAGGAAAGAGCTGGAGCTCCAGCGGCAGAAGGAGTTAATGCGCCAGAGGCAGCAGCAGCAAGAGGCTCTCCGGAGGTTGCAGCAGCAACAGCAGCAGCAACAGCTGGCGCAGATGAAGGTAAAGCCTAGACACCAGCTAGACCACGCCACCATCCGTAGGAGCTACTTGTTAGTGTTTTTTTTTTAGTTAAGTAGATGCTGGCAGTGCAGTAGCAGTGAAACAGTGTACATTTTTTATGTTAAATATTGCTTGCTACCTTCGTTTTTTGATCAAGGAAACAATACGATGCATTGTACTTTGTATTAGGCATTTTAAACAAGGGAAGAATAAATAAAAGAGGGTAGGACACAAGCAGTGATGCAGGCACAACCACGTAAGTCTGTATGGTTCATAAATTTAAACATTGGAGTGCCTACTCTGTATCATTTCAGCACTGCTAAGACAAAGATAAATGAGACAAGGCAACTGTCCTCGGAGAGCTCGTAGACTTATGAGGGCAAGAAACATAAACATTTGGATGTGTAAGTAGGAACCATCATACAGGGCTTGAAACATAGCTGACTGTGGGGGTTTATTGAAAGTCGGATTGAGGTGATGTGTGCAAAATGTTGTTTTAGGAGGATTCAAAGCATTATTTGAAATAAGTAGAAAGTGAGACTGGGAGACCAGTAAAGAGAGTGTGATGGTGGTGGTAAGAATGAGTAGGGCCAGAGGATGAGAATTGGCATAATAGCAATCAGCAAGACTTAGTGGTTCTCTGGATCTGAGGGACAAGGGCAGAAGTTGGAATGGCTCTTAGATGGTAAGCCTCCAATGACTGGGAAAGTAGTGGGACTGTTGATGAACTCTGAGTAATTGGAGAAGGAGGAGCAGGTTTATGGTAGAGTCTGCATAACTTCTCATGGGGTGTATGGCTAGCCATAAGACTTAGTGTCTGTCCCCTGTCTTCAGGGAGCTCATGGGATAAAGACATAAACAGAAAATTAGAATACAGGGGGGTGGGTGTAGTAAGAGAGGGGGCATGAAGCAGTAATTCTCAGGGTGTGATCACCTGGGAATTTGTTAGGAATGCACATTCTTGGGCCCTACCCCAGACCTACTGAATCAGAACCTCTTAGGACTGGGACCCAGCAATCTTGTTTGAATAAGCCCTCCAGGGATTCTGCTGCTCAGTAATATGTGAGAACCACTGTCCACCTGAGAAGTTAGGGAAGGCTTCCTGAAAGAAGATAACTTCTAAACCTGAGTCATTAAGGGAGGGAAAAATTAAATTTAAAGAAAAAAAAAAAAAGACAGTTTGGGGAATAGAGGGTGTTTGTGAGAGCAGAATGAAGTTGCTGGAGAGTGAGGTATGAGATAGGTGTGGGCAGGGTTCATATCACCATGGGCTGTATATACTCTATTAAGAAATTAGGACCTAGAGTGGTAAAAAGAATTTTCAGCTAGGAAATAACACTGCTAGATTTACAGGAGGGAATAAGTCACTTTGAGAGCTAAATAGGAGATGGACTTGAACAAAACTGGAGGTCAGTAGACCAGTTGAGAGGGGGTGATGGAGTTGTCTAGTCAAGGAATAGAAAAGTTTGATCTAAGCCTAGGGGTGGCAAGATTGGAAAGGAGGAGTTGGAGAAGCTGCTAATAACTGAGTACTTGCTTTGTGTCAGGCACGTACTGACAGTTTTCCTTTTTTTTTTTTCACAACCACCCTTATAAAGCTTAGGTATTAATACCTGTGTTTTACCAAAGAGGAGAAATGTTAAGAAGCTAAGTCGCTTGCCTTGGGTCCAGCTGAGAGTTGATAGCACAGCCCTGTATTAGAACCCATGAGTCTATGGCTCCAGGGCCTCGAAAAGGCTGTCAAAAGACTTTCTTAAGAGGCCCTACATCCCAGGATGTGGTGACTGATCAGAATATGAGGGTGAGAGAGAAGACAAAGGCAGGGGTAACTTCCAGATCTCTAACTTTTCTGTGTCTTTTGTGTGTCTGGTTTTGCCCTCCTATCCTCCCATGAAGACTGTAGAGCTACTTTATGGATAAGCATTCTGATGAAGATAAAGAGCTCAAGATGGTTATGAGGAATTGCTGAAGGCTCTCGTGAGAAAAAAGCTTTTTAAAACGGCTTTATTTAGATATAATTCACATACCATGCAATTCAATCAGTTAAAGTATACAATTCAGTGGTTTTTAGCATATTTATAGATAGGTGCAACCATCAACACAATAGATTTTAGAACATTTTCATTACCACCCCCCAAACCCTCTAACTGTCACACCCCAGCCCCTATTTTCCCCTAACTTAGGGCTAAGTAACCCCTAATCTACTTTCTGTCTTTATTCTGTCTTGCCTATTTCTAGACATTTCAGATCATATAATATGTGGTCTTTTGTGACTGGCTTCTTTCATTTAGCATAATGTTTTAAGGTTCTTGTAACATATATCAGTACTTTTCCCCCTTTTTTATAATTGAATAATATTCCATTATGTGGATATGCCAGATTCTGTGTATTCATTCATCAGTTGATGGACATTTGAGCTGTTTCTACCTTTTGGCTTTTATGACTACTGCTGCGTTAAATATTCATGTACAAGTTTTATGTGGATGTATACACACACACACACATATATATATACATTTAGAAGTGTAATTCCTGGGTCATATAATAACAGTGTGTTTAGTGGTTTGAGGAACTGCCAGACTGTTTTCCAAAGTGGCTGCACCATTTTACGTTGAGTGTATGAGGGTTCAAGTTTCTCCACATCCTCATCAACCCATTATTATCTGACTTTTTGATTATAGCCATCCTAGTAGGTGTCAAGTGATAACTTGTGATTTTGGTTTGCATTTCCCTGGTGATTTGTGATGTTGAGCATGTTTTTATGTATTTATCGACCATTTGTATATCTTCTTTGAAGAAATGTCTATTTAAATCCTTTGCCTATTTTTTAAAATTAATTAATTTATTTTACTTATTTATTTTTGGCTGCGTTGGGTCTTCCTTGCTGCGTGCGTGCTTTCTGTAGTTGGGGTGAGCGGGGGCTACTCTTCGTTGCAGTGCGTGGGCTTCTCATTGCATTGGCTTCTCTTGTGAGGAGCATGGGCTCTAGGCACATGGGCTTCCATAGTTGTGGCTCATGGGCTCTAGAGCGCAGGCTTAGTAGTTGCGGCGCACGGGCTTAGTTGCTCCGTGGCATGTGGGAACTTCCCGGACCAGGGCTTGAACCCTTGTCCCCTGCTGCATTGGCAGGCGGATTCTTAACCACTGCGCCACCAGGGAAGCCCTCCTTTGCCTATTTTTAAACTGGGTTGTCTTTTTCTTACTGAGTTTTTTAAGGGTTCTTTATATGTTCAATATTTAAGTTCTGTATCAAATGATTTAAAATATTTTCTATTATTTGTTTTTTTTTTCACCTCCTTCATATAGTGTCCTTTGATGCACAAAAGTTTTTAATTTTTTTTTTTTTTTTTTCCATATGTGGGCCTCTCACTGTTGTGGCCTCTCCCGTTGCGGAGCACAGGCTCCGGACGCGCAGTCTCAGTGGCCATGGCTCACGGGCCCAGCCGCTCCGCGGCATGTGGGATCTTTCCAGACCTGGGCACAAACCCATGTCCCCTGCATCAGCAGGCGGACTCTCAACCACTGCGCCACCAGGGAAGCCCAAAAGTTTTAAATTTTGATGAAGTCCAAATTATCTATTTTTGTTGTTGTTGCTTGTGCTTTTGTTGTCATATCTAAGAATTGCTAAATCTGAGGTCATAAAGTTTTACAGAATCCCATGTTTTCTTCTAAGACTTTGTAGTTTTAGCTCTTTGATCCATTTTGAGTTAATTTTTGTAAATTATGTGAGGTAAGGGTTTGACTTCATTCTTTTGCATGTGATTTATCTGGTTGTCCTAACACCATTTGTTGAAAAAACTGTTCTTTGTCCACTGAATGGTTGTGGTGCTCGTCTTAAAAATTAGACATGTGGGTTCATTTCTGCACTCTGAATTCTAGTCAGGTGATCTGTATGATCGCTATGCTAGTAACACACTGCTTTGACATTACTATTGCTTTGTAGTTAAGTTTGAAATCAGTGTGAGTCCTCCAAATTTGTTCTTTTTTTTCCATATTGTTTTGGCTCTCCTGTGTTTCAATTCCATATGAATTTTAGAATGAGTTTGTCAGTTTTCACAAAGAAGCCAACTGGGATTCTGATAGGGATTGCATTAACTCTGTAGATCAGTTTGGGGAGTTTTGACATCTTAACAATATTAAGTCTTCTAATCCATAAGCATGGGATGTTTTTATATTTATTTAGATCTTCTTGAATTTCTTTTCAGTGTTTTATAGTTTTTAGAGTATAACTTTTGTACTTCTTTTGTTAAATTTATTCTTAAGTATTTTGCCTTTCTGATGCTATTATAAATGGAATTTTCAAAATTTCATTTTCAGATTGTTCTTTGCAAGTGTATAGATGTACAGTTGATTTTTGTATATTGAGCTTGTATTCTGAAATCTTGCTGGACTGGTTAATTAATAGTGTCTTAGTGGATTCATTAGGATTTTCTGTACACAAGGTCATGTTATCTGCAAATAGAGGTAGTTTTACTACTTTTTCCCCCAGTCTTTTATTTCTTTTTCTTGCCTAATTGCCCTGGCTAGAACCCCAGTACAGTGTTTAATAGAAATGGCAAGTGTGAATGTTCTTGTCTTATTTCCGATCTTGGGTTGATGTGGGGGAACACATCCAGTCTCTCACCATTAAATTTAATGTTAGCTGTGTGTTTTTTGTAGATGCCCTTCATTAGGCTGAAGGAGGTGAGGATTTTTATGTCCATGTTCATAAGAGGTATTTGTCTGTAGTGTGTGTTTGTTTTCCCCCTTGTGATTTCTTTGGTTTTGGTGTCAGGGTAATGCTGGCCTTGAAGAATGAGTCAGGAAATGTTCCCTCCAATTTTTTGGAAGGGTTTGTGAAGAATTTGTATTAATTCTTTAAATGCTTGGTAGAACTCAGTGGTGATGAAACCATTTGTGCTTGGGCTTTTATTTGTGGATAGTTTTTTGATTACTAATTCCATGTCTTTACTTCTAATAGGTCTATTTGGATCATCTTGTTTCTTCTTGAGTTAGTTTTG